GCCCCTCAGGGGGGCGGGCTTGCGATGATCGCAAGTACGATCTGCCTGTCCAAGATGGGCAGATTGTACATTTTTTTAAGTACTTTACAACCCTCGCAAGACAAAAGTCTTGCGAGGGTTGTAAAGTGTATGGCCACCTTAAGGAAGACATTACAGTTACAATGCAAATCAACAGATGTTGGTTAGGAGGGTAATCATCGTTTTATGTGTGGGGACATCTTAAAGGCTAGTTCCACCTTTCTAACCAGGTTTCAGGTCACTCCCATACTCAGGGTATATCATGAAAGATGGTTAAATCGCAATTTCTCCCCACCCCGACCCCGCTTACCGGAATCAGGGCCGGATTTACTCTCTATGCTGCCCCAAGGCCAGGTTCCTCAATGCGCCCCCCTGTATGCAGGCTGTATACAAGTTATCTCTGCAACATCTCTGGGATCACTTGTACAAAACAAGTGTCAGCTTCCCCGCTGTACATTTAGCTCTGCTTGCCCAAAGTTGTTTTCTAAATGTAGAAAACCACTACCCGCCCGGCACCCAGGACTGCATGTCCTAGGCATTGGGAGATAGGAATTCCACACCCCTGCTGCCCCAAGGCCGGGCCTCGGTTGGCCTTGTGGGAAATCCGGTCCTGACCGGAATCACAGGGTTCTTCTCCCTTGCAGGCTTGTGTTGAATGTGTTGTGCGGCAGAAGAACATGTCGTTCTCAAGCAATAAAGTAGACAGCACAGGAAGTTATGAGCACACTGGATTTCTTTTAGCACCCTGTCACCTCTCCTGTGCTAGAGTGACAACGTTCACTCACTATACTGTATCTACGGAGGAGCAGTGTTGTCACCCTAGGCTGCTTGTTCCTGCTTAGGACTACAAACCCCACCACCACCGCCACCTAATCTCCATAACACAGGGGAAGGTGTTCCCTAGTCAACAGGGCTGATAACACTGATGGAGGTTTGAGTGCAGCAAGTAATGAGCTCACTGGATTTCTTGTAGGATCAACAGATATTCATTTGCAGGTATCCAACAGATATATAGCAAAACACTGCCGATGGTATATTAAACAAAGGGGCAAATAAGAAAAGTCCAGTTAGGGTTTACATACATTGTAACATGACTTGACTAATGTGTGAAAGTCGCTCATTGGCATGAGAAGGCAGCTCTACTAAGTTTTATGCACTCGGGGTGATATGTCATCTTTTCAGTAAATGGAATTCCACTGTACAGGAGGAAATGATTTGTTAAATCCTGAAATTGGCAAAGTATAGAGGACTTTACAGTAACATTTATCTGATGTTTGATTGCAGGATCACATTGTTTCTATAGAAAACTATACTGGTCACGCTATTGTAAAGCTGTGACTTTAATACAGAGAGCTAGCCTGTGCATTGCTGGATTGCAGTCACTGGGCTACATGGAGAGGAAGGCTTCCAAGGGCCAAAATATAAATCCATATAACGTGTATCTAGAGCTCAAATCTTTTTTTTTTTAGTTTTGGGTAGAGCAGGTCATTGCTAAATTCAGTCAGCTTTTTTTTTTTGTCCCATTGGGGAGATTTCACTTCACTTCCTGTCCTGGAGACATAACAGGAAGTGAGTGGAAATCTTTCCCCAAAAAAGCTGGCTATACACTGAGGGGCTGAACGGTGATTCCCCATCCATGTTAGATGCTTGGATGGAGGAATCCTCCTGCCCTAGCCCCTTTGCCACCACCAGCCTATTGTATCTTGACCATGGCAGTGTGTCCCCATCAGAATATACAGTGACTGAAGCAGATTGGCTGTCACTGTTCGGCTATAATTGTGAGGAAGGGTGTGAAGATATTCTAGGGGCCGATCATTCCATTTCAAAGCAGGACGGCGTTTAGTTTGTGCACATGGATCTGCCCGCAGCTGGCAATGTTATCACCAATACAGGGGAGTCCCAGAAGAAAAGAAATGTTCCGTTTTGTAAGTCGCGAACACATCACGCACGGTCTCCCCCGGGAGCTCGCAGCACGTAGCGGCAGAGATGATTTTCTCCAAATGATATTTTTACCAGGTGCCAGCTGTGACGGGTCTGTAGATAGCTTAGTTCACGTTTGAAAGAGTTTATTTTCCTTCGGTATTGCAGTAATGATGAAGCTGTGTGATTGTGAGCTGTACTAAATGTCGGAACAGACCCTGGAAGTCATAGAGTATCTGCACCACCATACCACAACTACCCGGGAATGCAACAAATTCATGTCAGAGACAAAGCCTGCCTTGTGCACAGGTCTCAGGGCCATGGTGTGGCCAAGCTTCTTTGGTTGCTAGGCGATGGTCTCGCCCCCAGCCTTCTAGCAACCAAGAACATTGTGTTGCCAGCCTGATTGGTTGCTAGGATGCTGGTGGTCTCTGGGCTATCAGCCTCCTAGCATCCAATGACTGTGAGGTCAGCCTGAGTGGTTGCTAGGACACTGGGGGCCTCTGGGTTCCAAGCCTCCAAAGACATTGTGAGGACCAGCCTGATTGGTTACTGGGGGCCTCTGGGTTCCAAGCCTCCAAAGACATTGTGAGGCCAGCCTGATTGGTTGCTGGAACACTGGGGACCTCTGGGTTCCAAGCCTCCAAAGACATTGTGAGGCCAGCCTGATTGGTTGCTGGAACACTGGGGACCTCTGGGTTCCAAGCCTCCAAAGACATTGTGAGGCCAGCCTGATTGGTTTCTGGGACACTGGGGGCCTCTGGGTTACTAGCATCCAAAGACATTGTGAGGCCAGCCTGATTGGTTGCTAGGACACTGGGGGCCTCTGGGTTGCTAGCATCCTAGCAACCAATAACATTCTGTGGCCCGCCTGATTAATTAGTAGGATTCCAGCCTCCTAGCAGCCAAGGATGAGTTCAGGTTCAGACCGAACCCAGCCCAAAATCTGAGCTATACAGAACCCAGAAGGAGCTCCTCTTGAACACGGACGTAAGCTCCTTCCATGCCGTGCAATCAGCTGTAAAACAGGGAATTTTCCACTTGCAGCTTGATGTAAACAAAGGGGCAGTATACAGTGACATCATTGACCTTGATCATACACCTATATGTGCCCATAAAAGGTAAATTATGTCAGCAAAAGCATCCCGCATCCCCTTTGTTTACATGCAGCTGATTGGCCAGCTCAATGCTGATTGGGCAGAAAGCCAATCAGGAAGCCGGGAGGTGGGTCATTACTCGCCGCCCAGCTTCCTGAACGCACGGGAAGCTGGCTCCATGTTCCCCTACAGCACTGCTGGCCAGAGGAAATCTTCCTCTGACTGGAAGTTCCGGTATTGCAGCATTTGGGCGAGTATGAGTGCTCACACAAATACTCTGTATCTGCACCGATACTAGTATCGGTGCATCCCTACTAATTTGTATTGAGATTGTAGTCCATCATGGGAGCGAGCTTGGGGGACAAAAGTAGTCACCCTCCAGAAGGAAGGACAGTGTCAGCACCAATTCAGAGATGATTGGAGGATCTACAGCCGAGTGATACACAAATAGAGCTCCAGTATTGTCAATAGTTAGGCTGTCACTTTAACCCTTGCAGTGTGGGCATAGCCCTACTGCAAGGGCAAGTTTTTAAAATTTGAGCTCTTCTTTAACATTACTAGACATTGCCTATAACAGAGCAAATCTTAACTTTCTGAGTTCAGGTCAACTTTAATAAAGCGATTGGTGTTAGTGTATACATTTTTGATTTGTTTGGATCATGGATATTTATTGAACTCATGAGTTTATCCTTTATAGAGTGGTGCTATCCTACGCTTATGGTTTACAAAACTAACTTTGTGACAGCACATTTGTTGCCTCTATGTCTGTGAAAAAAAAACCAGTCATGATACTTAATCATGACTGCCAGCATGCATCCCAGCAGCTGTCCAAGCAACAGAGAGTAAGCTTCAAAACAGGAAGCAGATCAAAAAGCTTTGCCTTTCCAAGACAATCGGAACTCAATCTAATAGCCCACCAGCAACATAAACACGTTCTATGCCAGGGACCAGGGCTTAGACTGAGTGACAATATGACATCCTGAATCCTCCTAGTTAACATCTTAATCTTTTACCCATCAAAAATGTGACCAGAGAAATCTGAAAGTAACAATGAAAATCCCTTTTACACAATCAGACTGTGAAACAGGAGAAAAAAAGACTCAAGCCATATCTGTCATCGAAGAAAGCCGGCAGCAGCCTTGAGAATGAAGCAGACATGTACTGAAGATCCTTCCCAGGAAATGTTTTTTTTTTTCTTTTTAATCAGGTATAAATATAAAAAACTATTTTACAACACATTATTCCATCCACAGCCCGTATGAAACAGTATTTATTACACAAAATTACTTCTAAAAAAGAAAAAACAAAACCATATTAGTTTCTCATTGCAAGCATTGCGTTTATATCCCAGATGAGATTCCGTAACTGATCCATGATTTGCTTCAACTGCTGATTCTTCTGTTTTAATTTCTGCAAGAGAGAAAATATGTCGTTAGTAATCTCGAAGGATGAAATGCATGTGAATAATTACAACAAACCTCACAGAACTGCAACCGTCGGGATTGGGGGGTGAGTGATTTTAAAATAGACTTTAAATCAAATTCCAACTTTTGCAGCCAAGTTGGGATAACAATTACTTCAGATTTGTTACATGTTTCTCATTCACGGAGCGTAAAAAGTTTTCTTTTAAATTGCTGTTTGCACATTATATGCTCTATTCTGGCAGGAAAATGTGTTCTCTGTATGGAGTTTGGCTCTGCAATGCAAGGGGGGAGCAGGGAAGGATAATGTTAAAGTAGTATTAAGGTCTGGGCCTTTTTTACCTTAAAAGGAGAACTATGGGGTCAGGGCTTTTCCCCATAGTTCTCCTTAGGGTAACGTGAGGACACAAACTAGCGTCCTCCTGTCACCCTAGGCTCAGTATATAGAGAGCTACAACTCGCGGTATACTGAGACGCCGCAGCCGGAGCGGATCCCGACATCGATGTCGAGATCCGCCCAGTTGCGTGAGTGACAGCTGGCTCTGCCTATCTAGAGGCAGAGCCA